TGCGGTGAGTTTCAACTATCATTGCACACTATACAATTAGCCTCATTCTATTTTCCAGACTCGACATCAATACCATTGATATCTCCTCAGGAGATCATAATGCTCGGAGATTATCTTGGATGAAGTATCTCTCCCTTAGGAGAATACTCAGCCGTCTTTGCGATATCTCCTCCTGTTATAAAAAAGCGCATATACTGAAGGAAAAGATAAAGGTATGGCAAGCCCCACTGACCGAGACATGCCTACCTACACTACTTTCTAGCATTCTCAAGATATGATCTCAAGGCGCCGCAACAGCAATATCCTTGACCTCATAGTACTTCAGAGGGGTGACCGGTATTTCTCCTCCAATGAGGCTGAACTTGAAGGAGATTCGCTAGTGGGCTATTAGATCATTCGCCATGGACCCAGATGCTTCTTTTTATTGATTTTTGATTTATCTCTGTCCTCTGTCACTTTTTATCCTCGTAAATATAGAACTAAAACTATGTATTTATGTCTAACTTTCTCTTAGAGTTGACGATAAACATCGATGCCGGTACTTTTCGCGTGATTAAAAAAATCAAATTAAGGTCAAAGCGTTTATTATGACTTTATGGTCAATCGTCAATTCCTCCGACTCAGATCAATCAATTACAGTAGCTTAGTCCAAATGCTAACGCGTTTGAACTTCACCGAATCGGAGTGTCAGGTTGAAATTTTAAAGCTCAAGTGCTCTGGCAGTCTTGCTTTATTCGAGATCTAAGTGAGATCTACATAAGTAGTATACATAATACTAGGAAGTTCGAGATCTATAAAGTGTTGTCTGATGTCGAGTCTGAATACCTTGAAGTTGCCAAATTCCAATGTTATGCTTAATTTAATATATAATTAAAAAATGACTCGTCGGCTTTAACGCTTTACCATGATCGCTGACAACGAACACGTCGTCGGGAACGAACTCGGGAGGCATTGAGTCATGTATGCAAGAATCTATTTCTCTCTTTGGTGAGTGAAAGACATCGAAAGGATCGAAGGGCATCTGGTCTTCATAGGACAGTATGCGATAGGGAGCAATCAGAACGAGGTCTTTGGGACGTAGCCAGACTTGAAGTCGGGAGACATTTGACATCGCAAGATGAGGGCATAAGGGAGTGGTTGGAGGAAAAGCGACGCCCAATCTCGACTCTTGCTGAACTGTACTGTACTGTATTTTCTACGCTCTTCTCTCGTCTCGTCTCTTATCGATTATCATTGCATTTTCCGTATTACAGACATATTATATTACACATGCTTTTTGTATCTATTCAAGTATCTTGATACTTGTTCAATGATAGTTTCTTGCATCGATCGTTGTTCAATTGAGGCTGACTACTGAGAACTGAGAGCTGAAGTTTAAGTATTGATCAAAGTCTAAGATATTCGCCATTCCGGAATAAGGGCTCGACTGGTTCCGAAATGAACGGCTATAGGAATTATGATCGGTGCCAGGGTCACGGTCAAAGCGTTCATTATCAGATCGATCGTCATTCAGACGGAAGTACTTCCAACACTACGTTTCCGGGTCCGTCTTACTTTTTAAATCAGAGATATTACTGTTTGCGTGTCCACCGGCGCACATTGACTGCCAGATAAGATCGTCATGTTAGGACGACCCAACCTTGGTCAAGACGCAACTCAACTACTCACGACTGAGGGGCAATATTCCGGATATCGGGGACGTAGGGTTCGAGTTGTTTGCAGATGTTGAAAGATACAAGTCGACGAAACGGCTCGGAGGTTCGATATGATGGCACATTAAAAAAAGTGTAGAAGCTGAGGGTGTCGGGTGCGGGTGTAATCGCCCTGGGATCATCAATACTCTTGGCTCCACATTGAATTCTTACATATAGCTCTGCAAAATACATTCATCTCCCGTGGTACGCTCCTCACAATGTACCAATTACTCCGAAGTTCATCGCTGTTCAGGTTGGCTCAATTGGTTTCAATCGGTCATAGCAATGAAGGAGATGAAATAACGTTTTGTTTGTGTATCGCGGAATGTAGAGTACTAGAGAGTGACAGAGAGGAATATCAACAAAGTACTGAAGATTCATAGATTATGATGACATGTCTAGTGGTACAAAGAGGACTCTGGGATTCACCAGAGTAAGAGATATAAGAGAGCCTATACATAATAGCAGCGTGTCTCACCGCTTTGAGACAGAGCTAGCTTGTTTGCAGCGCAACTGCTTTTGAGATCGTGAAGTGAGTTCCGTACAGGTTCGCGCGCGCGTAAGGTATCGTCCTGCGAATCAGATTGAGTATGCCGCATATGGTGGAGCTGTAGTCCCCAATGTAACTGAGCCCGTTTGCTCATATTTTCGGAAATCTTGTAGAAATTTCAAAGACACGTAAGTATATCCATCCTCCCATGATCATGAACGCACATCATACCTGAATCTCATTTCGCAGCTTACGAAGCGCACGATAACAAGCAGCAATCCTCCACATACGGCTGGCTATCCTCCGGACAGAAAGAGGATGATCCTGGAGTTTGTGGGCAGAAGAGAAAAAGTTGTGTGAAAGGTGTATTTCGAGTGAGATATCGAGGATAATGTCTTGGATCCTAAAAGAAATCATTCCATCAGCTCGGACGCAGATTCCCCAAGGACTGGATTCACTTCATCACCCGTTCCTCATAATCCATAAACACCTTCCACTGCTCCGAGTCCCCCATATACCATCCATTTCCACCTAAATTAAAACTGGGGATCGCAGTTGGATTTGCTACCAACCAGCTACTCGCACCACCTCCACCCATCAAATATTTTTATACCTCCCCAGCGCCTCATCAGTCCTATCCGCGATTTTCCTCAACCTCTTCATTGTAACGAACGGGAAATACATCAACACCGTACGGCGAACACCAAGAGTAATGGCTAGAGTAATGACCAGAACCCACGTCAATGGTGTCCATGAGAGGGGTTGAAGAGCTTGTTCGCCTAGTTGGACGAGGGTTTCTGGGAGTGAGAATGAGTCTGACATGGTGTATTCAGGACAAGTCGCTTTGATTACATCGAATTTTCGGCAAAGCAGGCTTTTATATACGGAAGGAGGGAATATAGCTTGGAAAACATCTTGGCTGGCCAAGACCAACATCAAGCTCCCAAGAAAAGATGTAAAAAAAACAACTAACGCGCCGCTTGCGTTAATTTATCAGTGCTCAATCAGTGCTTTCCCGGGTGACGACATACCAAGCCTTGTACGCAAGACCAGGCCGAGTACTTTCATTCCTCGGCAGTATAAAGTTATGTTAATTTTGTGGAATCGTGTGCAGCGCCGAGAGATTCCAAGAGACATTGGGAAGAGACATATAGCTTGACCTAACTAATTGCAGTACCATAAGCACAGTAACGATCGATAGAAGAGAATCCCATTACATTTAAGATCTCCGAATCCGCTCATACTCCCCCTGCACATGCGCCCACACTTTGTCTACCATTCCTTCCTTCCGGTACTTCCCCAGAGTACTGATGACCTTTCTCGCCCGCTGATTCTCCGTCCTTGTCAAGAGAGTATACCCCGCTTCCTTTAAGACCGTCGGTTCCGATGGCAAGATCTCCGTCCGGGATGGGTACCCCTCCGGGAGCATAGCGAGCGCTTGTCAAGAGAAAAAGATGTCTATCGCAAGGTTAGCTTGATCCAAGAAAAATGAACCTGCCTCACCTCTCCCCACTTTCATCAAGAGGAATGTCAGTCCCAGTAATCTTCTTAATCCACATAAGCGATCTTGCAAACACTCCAAATGCACCCTGCATCTTGTCTTGATACGGAGTCCGCACCAAACCGGGATTGCCATGAATAAAGCTGATTTTGTTGGGTTCAGCTGTAGCAGCGGAGGCTTCGAGTGTCAAGGTCACGAGGGTACCCATATGCCCGCGAATAGCAGAGAACGGGATCTTGAGTGCAGGCATGTCCTCTGGGTAGAGATTGCCTTCGTCGCAGCCACAGGCGACAGATACGACGCGTGCGAGACCAGGTTTCCATCGGAAGATGAATTTGCGCCGTTGATGAGAAGAGGGGTGAGGTGCTGCATAACAAGGGTACGATCGTAGTATGCAGTGGCTAGAAACTTGTGTAAACCTTCCGGCGTAACTAAATGGGCCTGATTAGTATATATAGAAGTAATACAAGACCAGGCATACCACTTCGATCAAAGCTAGGCGTCCCCGTAGTCAAAAATAACAGATTCACCTTTTCCTCCCTACTTTTAATATCTTCACAAACCCTCTCAACTACCTTCATTAAGCTAAGGTCTGCTTGCAGAAACACGATTTCTGATTCCCCAATATGATCTTCCGGACCCAATGTGCGACACTCTTCGATAATACGATCCGCAGATATCCGAGACCGACCAACAAGGTATACCTTTGGTCTAATGGTGTGAGAGACGAAAGCCTTGAGAGTGCTTTCACCAATGCCCGAGGTCCCGCCTAAAAAGACGGCAACAAGGTTTGGAGGGAGGGAAGTAGAGATGAGGGCATTGGAGGCGAGCATTTGGGTGAGGGATACCATAGTGAATGAGAGACTGAGATGAAACTACAGGTTCGCATACTTTTAATACCTGCAGCGGAGAGACTGTTAGTCAGGCTGTCTATCGGAAGTCGGAAAATCAGCTATAATAGGAACTAGGCAAATCAACCAAATGTATATGGTACAGATCACCTTAATCAGCATATCGGGAATTAGACCCTGCAAACATATATGTAAGGTGTAGCATGTCGTCTTTTGTCTGTGCTGAGTTGAGCGAGATTTCGAGAAGTGTTGTAGTAGTACTAAGCTACCAAAGCTCTGCAGGCCTGCCAGCAGATTGCAGCATGAGGGAATCAGAGCTCTTCTACTTGCTGAGAAAAACCATCAACTGGCTTTATCGGATTGAAGAGAAGGTTGAGGAAGAGCGAATTAGATCATGGGCGTTCAAGCTCGAGTTAAGCGCCCAATATCGGACGAGTACCACTTGCAACAGATAATCTGTTAGAGCCCGCCTAGCTCAATCGGATAGAGCGTCAGACTTTTATTCGACTGTTCCATTAAGGTGAATCTGAAGGCTGCGAGTTCGACCCTCGCGGTGGGCTATAAATGTGCTAATTCATGGACATCATTTTTCCTTTTTCGAAAGTTTTCTTGCACCTTGTACACCAGCGCAGTTCAAATTGCAAGTTTCTACAATCAAGATCCAGTAACTAATACAACTAAAACATATCTCAACTGGTCCCATCTCCACCTTCACGATTAACAAAATTATACACCTTCAACATCCTACAAAACGCCTCGGTCTGAGGGTTTGAATATACCTGCGGAGGTGACGGCTTCTTCCCGTTACCCTCTTTTCCCTTTCCTGGGTCTGCATCGGGTCCCGGCCCCGGTGCAGTTCTACTAAACACCTGCACATCTTCCACCTTCACCAATCCTCCACACGGTACGTTCTGCTTTACCCAGTCGAGTTCACGGCTTACCATTTCCCGCGCGGTAGGTTCGTCCGGGAAGGGTTTTTGGGCCCGGGAGAGGGAGATGAAGGAGTGAAAGGCGCGGGTTATCGGCGAGCCAGTGGGGGTCGTAAGTTAGGTGAGGGGTGGAGGGTTGGGAAGACGATGATGTGTCTGCTTCTGCTTCCGACGCGGGCAGAACGAAACCAGATGTATCGACGTCGATGAACTATGAAAAGGGTGAGTATAGTATCTAACCAGAATGTAAACCCACCCACCTCTAAAAACTTTCGCTTCGGTAAGCACTTGTCCAAGGCTATCCACTGTGTAAACGATCCTTCTTCTCGTCGACCAGCTTGCCTCCTTGTTGGAGGAGCAGGCGTCGGAGCAGGAGGAGGAGCAGCGACATCGTCCAAATCATCCAACAGTATTTCGTCTGGGTTGACTGGATTTGCGGTAGCTGGCGTCGATTCATCATCGTCGTCGATAACAATCTCGTCTGGATTCTTCACCTCTCCCTGCTGTTCCGTAGGCTCTCCCTCAGCCCACCAGATGCCAACCTCCCATCCTACATGCATATGTGCACTGAACCACCATCTAGGCTTCAAGACCCTCAACAACCCCGTCAACGGCGGGCTTCCCAATGCGCCTTGTTGAATATCCTGTCGGAAGTGTGGCTTTTTTCGGAGGAGAGTAGCTAGGGACTCGGGGGAAGCGTAGGAGGTTATGTCGACTGGCCAGTCATGGGATAGGAAGATGCTGGATTTGAGGATGCGATTGCGGAGGAAGAAGGGAAAGCTGTCTGATTGAAGATTCACGGACATGATAGATACTTCGAACATCGTCTTTGTTGTATGGTTGGCGTTCAAAGTAGCCTGTGGACATGGTTATACACACATCAAGCGAATCACCAACTTAACGCACCTTTCTTAAAGTTGTAGCCCTTGAATATGCCAGATGCACCGCTGATTCGGATTCCATTGACCAAGACAGAGCCTGCATGGCCAAGAAAGTACATGTTCGGTGCTACCCAGCCCCCGTGAAATCTGCACGGAACGTGTAAGTCGACATCAAGGACAGATTAGACCACTGGGCTCTCACAATTCCCAAAAGTAATTCGACGCTTCATGATTTCCTCCGATGATAATCGTCAAAATAGGTGCTTCTTTTTCTCCAGTGTAATATCTAACCAAAAGTCAAAACTCGCAATCTGCCAACATCCAGAGGTTGATCATACTTGTAAAATGTGCCCAATTGCTTGTACTTGTCTGGTACAGCCATACATTGTAAATCCGCATAATTTCGGATGGCTTCAAAGTCGCCGCAGATGAGGAGAAGATCAACGTGGTAATTGTTTTGGGCTTCTAGAGAGGCGATGGAGGAATAGATAGAGTCTAGCTCGCCGTGGCAGCAGCCTTCAATAGCGATTTTCATGGAGCTAAGTAAGAGTTTCTGAAGAGTGTTACATGCTATTGGCGCCCAGGAATTACTTTGACTATTTATTTATAATAATACACGTCCAAGAATTGGAAATCTACTTTGGCTCTTCGTTTGATACTTCTACAAATTCCCTTGCTCTGCGACCTTCGTTGAGCTGTTTGGATACGGTGTCCAACCTAACATTAAGCATCCATTATCAGCACGTATCATTCTAGTCTGTCAAATTACCCACCGTGTGCGGTCCACTCTCCAACGGCGCAGTCGTCGCTGGTACTTCCTTCGGCACTGTATTACTCGTATCTGTTTCCCACTGATATTCCCAACATAATTGCTGGCCGCCTCTGAAACTCTGTTGATATGCGGCTGGGAGGCGTCCACAACACGATTAATATGCGGCTGGGCAGCATCCCGAGCTGATGCAAGATACTCTTTCGATGTCTCTACAGCTGCGGCTGCAGTTGGCTGAGCAGCATCCCGGCTGAAGCAAGGTACCTTTCGATGTCTCTAGAGCGGCTGCAGTTGGCTGAGCAGCATCCGGCTGAAGCAAGGTACCCTTTCGATGTCTCTAGAGCTGCGGCTGCAGTAGATTGGATTTGGGAGGCGAGGGTCGAGTCTTGGTTCGTCGTCGACGGCGAGCCACTGGGCAAATAACCCTGTACCAGGTTCTTCGCTTGCTCGATATATGTTTGCCCAGTCGCTTTGGCCGCTTCAACATCTCTCTGGCCCTGTGCTACAGCCGTATCAGTCTTGGCTTGGAGCTGGTCGGCTGCTGAAGGTGGTTCGCCAGTGAATTCTTTGCCTAGAGACTACCAGGTTGGGTTCAGCCTTTGATTCCAACACTTGTGTTAAGTTGAAGCATACCTTAGCAGCTAATGCAGCTGTCTGCGCCGCTTCCTGCGCCTGATCTGCATTCTTCTCAATCGCTCGTGCCGCTGCATTTGTCGGAGCCTCTGCTTGAGCCTGTGCTGCTGTCGTTTCTGCTCTGGCAGCACTATAACATCATCAGCATCGGTAATTTCCATAACGCGGAAACCAGAAACTCACTCGGCACCAGAAACGTTGACGTTAAAGATCTTTCCTTCGACGGTGGACATGTTCGTTAAGTTCAGTGATTTACTGTAATAAGGCAAGTTGGTGTGGTTTGGTTTTGGTTTGGTCGCGTGCAGCGTAGCTCTTTTATACCTTCTCGACTCCAAAAGAAGCCATGGGTCGTCATCGGCGATGACACCCACTTGACGTCATCTTATGATCCGCCCCAAAGCCAAACCTCTCTCCTGAGAGTTCCGAGTAGTCTCTTCCATTCGAAATCGCGAGACGGCGTATAATAATCTATCTAAGAGCTCAGCAACTCGGTTCAGCTGATATATAATGTTGGTGGATTATGTACTTAGCGCTCAGAGTTTGACACGAAATCGCAAATTTCACGCAGGTCAAAGCGTATTATACTTCATTCGCCTATCTCTTCCTAATTGCGTCCTGCACAGTACTAATATCAAATTTATCTATATGAGAATTGAGCCAGGTCTTCCCTTTCTGAACAGTGGTCATATACACTCGCGATCGGATATATATTCAAGAGGAGAAAAGGAAGTATGCTCCTCAGGCTATCCCACTGTAAAGTAATACCGACACTCGAGGAGTCCCCTCAAAAAGATAATGTAGAGTAACTGCGGCGGCAATCCATTGCGACCTTCAGACCTCTGTTACATTAGGCATTGCTGTGAAAGCATGACACTATGCACTTTGTACCTACCGGATTCGAAGGCCTAGACGTCCAAGCTACTTCGGTCCAATTTTGATTACAAAAAAAAAAAGAAACTTGCGCAATTGAAGATGCCAAAAAAAACATGTATCAGAGCACATACACATTGGAACAGAGCAATAGCCCACCGCGAGGGTCGAACTCGCAGCCTTCAGATCCGCCTACTTGCTTTGAAATTGCTATATAAGAGTCTGACGCTCTATCCGATTGAGCTAGGCGGGCCCTGCCGAAGTACTGCTATGCACAAATCTAATCTATCGAGGAGGGTGCTGGATAATCAATATTATTTATACACGACGAAGAGACGAGACCACAGTGAGCAGAACTGTGAGGCTCAAGATGGGCGGGAAAAAGTTCGCACCACTCTTGATTCTTGTCCATGAATATTGTCCATGAATAGGACTTATATAATATATAGAGTACTTGTACAGACAGTAAGTAGAACTACGTCGAAACTTGTAGAACTATATAATACATTCTCCACTTGATACATACAAAAATCACTAGAACATTCTACTTATTTCTAGATTGCACATGAAACTACGTACATAGACATAGACTCCAATGGAGGGAACGGAATAAAGCACAGGAAGTAAGTACTGTATATATCTACACTCGACACTCTATGCACATCTAGTAAGTACACCAGTTATAAGTACATACACAGTAAATGTAATATTGACATTAAAATGAAGCATAGGATACATAAGTACCGCAAATCTAAAAGATATTAAAGATAGTCCGAGTCGGTCGGACAGCGCTGCTTATTGAGAAGTCAAACTAGCTCTCGAGACTAGGACGGATTAATTGCGTTGAAACGCGGATATACAGTACTTGTTTGTCCGAAAGCGTAGGTCTGTCTCGGCAGTAGGAAGTCCGAGTGCTTGTCGGTCAACAAATTTGCCCGACGAAGATTCAGATTAGTATTGAGTGAAAACCAGTCCACCTAGATTTTGTGCCTGGTAGGTGAGTCAAATAGCTTGATATGCTTCTTGGACCTTCGATAGCTGGTACCCTAAGAAAAAAAATAACATGAGTCAGTTTGCATGAAATTGAAAAACAAGACCCCAAGGACTCACCAATCAATGGACAATCCATGGAAAATACCGCCATCGTTGCGAATACCTTCTCTAGCATCCCAACCATTTCCTCTTCAGAAACACCTTGAAGGGTGCCACCGAGATCGTGTCCATAATTCCTCGCATTCCGCATACTCTGAATCTCGTCTATAAGTACTTGACATACGCTCGTCCAGCAAGAGCCCAAGATAGGATTCACATGTGCCACGGTGCTCATATCGACTTGACGGAGGATGGTGACGCAGGCGCGCGCGGCGTTGAGTGCCTTTTGTCGTGAGTGGGAGTGAGTGGAGATGAATAAGCTGTGGAGCTGAATGGTAGAGAGGTAAGCGATGGTGTGTGTGACAAGGACGGTACCGAATGATGAGGTGAAGGAGGGGTTATGCTGGTCAAGGGGAAGGAGGACAAGGCTACCTTGAAAAGTATCGATAAGGTTGTCGAGAGAGGAAAAGCTGGCACCAAAGCGGGAAGCATCATCTGCTGCCATGTCTTTGGGCAAGTTAGTAAAATATTCTGGCGCAGATGAATGTAATGAAAAATAGTACTCACCTGAACTATATAAAGTGCCAAGGTTCGCCGCTCTATCAAGGAGCACCGATGCTTTCGCAAACATAGCCATAGTTGAATGTTCCTTCACTGAAGTAGAAGACGGCACCTGCCTCAGAAAATTTTGCACTGTCATGATACTGCGATAGTCTACCGGCATCGAGTCCTGTAAACCCGACCACCGGAAAAATCTAGCGTCAGCCCCATGGTGTCGATGTTCTCTTAAAGCCATCACCTGTTCATAGTCCGACATATCCAGCGGCCACGGAGCATCGATTGTCGATCCATTATGTTCGAATACCATGCTCGACAGACACCCTACGGCCACTCCCCAGCAATTGCTCAATGTAAATGCCATCCAAAACGCATTGATCCTTTCTCCTTCCTCGACCTGGTCGGTCGGGGGAGCCAACAAGGGTTTGATAGCACCTATCTGATGCAAGGGGGAGGCCACGTCGGAGTTTCCACCTCCACTTCGGATTTTATTCAATCCAGAACCGAGTGTGAGGGAGACAGAGGCAGACATATGGTACTTCCCTTCTAATATACGTCCAGTCCGGAAAAAGTACACCGAGAGGAGAATTTCCGTTTGAATGGCATGGATAATTCGGTGAGGGTGAGAGGAACTGAGGGTGTTGGCTGCATGAAGGAGAGCGCGGGAGAGATAGACACCTTCCTGATTGTTAGGGTCGCCCAACAAATGCACTCCAAGGAGATAAACCGTAGACAAGAGACCTGGGCAAGGTCTCGAGAAGTGGCCGAAAGGTAAAGGTAGCAAAACGGAATTTTGAAAGCGAGGGACGTTTAGGAAGAAACCCAAGTCCATCGAGTACGGTAGAAATGCTTGCAGTCTACAGAGAAAAAAAAACACGGGTCAATATTTAGTTGCATCATGTTGTTAACAATCAGAAAGCGGAAACGCATACAAGTGCTGTACGACATCGCTTGGAGGTTCCTAGGATAGACAATTAATATTTAGGTCAAGTGGTAATCATAAATTCACCGCACTCACTTCGTGAAACAGTGAAGATGTTGAGCTCAAACTGCGTCCAGGGGATGATGAAGTAGATGAGCTGCGAGGTGTGTCTAAAGTAAATTCAATTAGCGCGAAGGCCTAGCGCAAGAAAACAAAAAAAATATTCCTACCAACTGGGCTGGAAAGCGCAGTGCTGTGGAAGTGACGAGCTAATGGCACGGCCGTGGTGTCAGACTGAATGCTGACTAGAAGTATCAGCCACAGTGTACGGCAAATGAAGTCGGACAGCATTTTCGTCGTCTGGTTCTTCGAGCTCTCGTATTCGGGCTTCTAGTCTTGCGACATTATCTTCAAGCATCTGAGTATGAGTGCGTCCACCGTCAGCATATTCGCAATTGTCTCCCGGTCTCGCGCTCTTCATGCATTGCGTACAGACTAGGACGAGCACCTACACATTACATTATAATTATTAGTATCAGTTAGAGGAGACCAGTGGACTGAAGGTAGCTACCATCGCATTTCTAAATCATAAAAAAACAAAAAAACAAAAGTTTTAGGGAAATTGCTAGTTGAAGAATGGCATGTTAGCGCTTACGATCTTTCGTTTTCTAGAGAAGAGTTTATGCCGTGTTCAATGAGGGTATTTAATGGCATCTCAGACTTACCTGCAGTTAGTACATGCTTTCCCTCTCTGAAGAGAATAGGGCGAAGCTCCTTGAGATTTGGATGATGATGCCCTTTCAGAAGTCATGTTTTCCTTTTCGTAAAAAGCAGAGATTATAAATGATTAGAATATAAGATGTATGAATATGAGAGTGTGTACAATGTACATCGACCCCATTCTCTGCCTTACTTATATACGGGGTCGGTCGGATTACCGAGACGAACGAACTTTATTTGGCGTGCGTGCTCAACACAGCATACGCTCGCATTGAGGAAATGGGTTCGAATGACTAGGCTATCCTCGAATTCCATAGTAGTGGATGAGTCAGGACTGCGACCAACTCCGGCATTATCCGCTTTCGGCACGGGTTTCGGATTTCCGTCACCATTATCCGATACTATCCGTGTAGATCCGTGCAGCCGCCGAAGAGATGCAAATCTTGGGCCCAAGGATAGACTCTAGGCAAGGAAACGGTGTCGCTACAATTCCGAGTCTTCAAGCAGATTAAATGACTTTCTTGCTAGATTGGGGCAAGGCTTACCAACCCACAGTCAGCTAAGATACATGTACGACAGATCCAGCAACCCCCACGTGATCCGTACCACTTTTGCGGTACTTTACAAAAACCTTTTGCGAAATTTCTAGATGCATTTTTAGCAAAATTCCTGTTGGGTGTTTCAAGATATACCTTATATCTTTACTCACCCAATAGGAATTTTCTCGAAAGTGAGTGTAGCAGTCTCTCAAAAGGTTTTTAGGGGTTGCCGAATCTGTTGTACGTGTATCTTACTCAGATTTGTTACAAATACACTTCGGGACCCAATCGGATCCTTGCACTCGAAAGAAAAAAATGATTGGGGAAAAATTCTCCTTCTACCTTACAAATTGCATACATGTCCAGGTACATATTAACATTGACTCATAGTCCAGAATCGACGCAAGCGCTATAGATCCTCATTCAACTCAAGTAGATATGCATAGATAAATTACACGGCACGATCTCGGAACATGTATATGTGCATCCAGTAGTATCGTTTCCGTCTCATACGGACGAGTCATGATACGATCCCCAACGGATGTGCGGTTTATGCCACAACTTACAAGATACTACTACGCAAGTACTCGTAATTAGATATCGGGTACTTGGTCGGTGAAGGTGGGACAGTCGGGCAATAACAACCTTGTTGAAGCTGTTGAATTTGACTATGTTTCCGTTTGATCAACCTGAAGGTACGATAAACTGATAAACTTAGCTTTGACCATAGATCAACTAACCCGATTTTGCCCCGATCACATCACCATCACACTGTTCTTCTCATTTTTGTTATTGCTGGAGGGCAGCAGAAGCAGCGGTTTCTTCTTCTCTCGAATTGTGCCTTTTGGTTTATGACGTAGATAGACTACGCGGCTGCAGCGGTATTTTAATCTACCGACTGCTGTCTCGGTAGTATTAGGACGGAAATCAAGTCGACGAATTATGATTACACAGAGATTCGACATAAGCAAAGCATAGCAAAGCAAAAGGTGTACACCGGAGAATATATATCGACGATTTAGCCAGAAGAGAAATCTAACTCTTCATCAGCGTTGGCTTATTCGCCGTCATCCAATCATCCAACACTTTCCAGAAATGTGCTACCATACTTTTGTCGATGTGTCTTCGTTGCTGGTCAATCTATAGTTTGTTTATTAGTCTGTTCGACAAGGTCGCTAGGGACATACCTTCAGCTCCGTTACATTCCAATCCTTGATTTTTGGATTGGGTCGATCATTGGCCCAAGAAACATATATTCCTTTCACTGAAAACGGATCTGAGTCATAGCATACTAAAATATGAGACGCGAACGTACCATGATGGAACAACACTTTCGGTTCACTCCACTTGTAAGAACGGAACTGCCAGGCCTGGCCCGTCGTCATCACGCATACTACACGGTCCCAAGCGTCCGGTCCGAAT